GGGGCGGAGGGTGGGAGGCGGCCGCGGCGCCCGGATGGAAAGAGGGTGCCAAGGCTGGAGAGGGTCGTCCTGGGTGGGGGTCCAAGAACTGGCCCCCACCAAGCCAAAGCCCGGGAGACGGGGGTCTCGGGCACAGGCCATCTCTTGGCAAGGCCCTGGAGATAGGATCCTGGACGCAGAGCCCCTCCACCCCCGCAAAAAAAAAAATCAAGGACGGGGTACAGAGATTCTAGGTACAACTCCTTAGAAAAGGTTTGGGGGATGGGGTACACAGCCCCCATATCAAGCCAAGGCCTCCGGGAGGTGATTCCAGACACAATCCTTACCATTCCCTGCCTGAGAAGGTCTCTTAGCACAACCCCCTAGGCAAGGTCTTGACGATGGGTTCGCTGGGTACAGTTTCCCCACCGAGCCAAGGCCTGGGAGGATTCAAGGCACAGGGTGCCCCCAGGACCCAGAAGCGTCCTGGGGACAGCATCACACTTGCCCCCCGGCCCGAACCCCCAGCCCTTGGGCGGTGTCCCAGGCACAACCCCCTCTCAAAAGAAGGTACGTGCCTGGGAGTCCACCCCACCTTATCACACTCCAGCTTGAATAGAATAAGGGTAATTTAAGGCAACCTCCAACACCCCCCCCCCACCACCATGCTTGGTCTAAGGTTCCAGGGCAGAGGTCTCCTAGGCCACCCGCTTTGTCCCTAGGGCTGCCCAGCTGTCCAAGAGAGTCCCCACCCGTAGACAATGCGCCACCTCCCCCTCCCGGACCTGGCCCCCCAGGCTCCAGGATTCAGGCTTGGCTGGGGGTGGCTCCTTAGGGACCGGGTGCAGCCCCGTCTGTGTCTGTGGACTCTGCGGTGACAGCGGCTTTGTGTGTGGTACCTGGGGAGAAGAGGGGAAAACAAGCGGTGGGTAGATGGCTAGGCGTGTGACCCCATGTTTGTGACTGTGGCCGTGTGTGTGTGCATGCGCTGCAGCTGGAGACTGTGAGGAATCCTGCGCTGTATTTCTATGATTGTGTCTGTGTATTTGTGTGACTGTGTATGTGTGTATAACAGCTGCTCACTAAGAATCCTGCATGTTTTAATCTATCTGTTTGAGTGTGTGCATGGTTGTGACTGTGTGGTTGTGTCTGTGATTATGTCTTTTGTGACCCTGTGTTTGTGTGCCTTGGTAACTATAACTGGGTATGTCACAGTATGTGTGTTGAGTCTAGGGTTGGGCATGTGTGTGACTGACTGAAGATGTGGGTGGAGTTGTGACTGTGTGTGTAAGTGGAGTTCTGTCTATGACTTCATGTCCATGTGTGACTCTTCCAATGACTGAGAATGTTTGTGGTTGTATCTATAACCAATTTTATATACATGTGTGACATACAACTCTGTGCAACTGTGAGTGTGTGACTGCCATCCTATCTGAAGTCATGTTGTGCTTATGTGACTGGGGTTGTGTGATGGCAGTGCGTGTGACAGTGTTGTGTGTTCATAGCCATGTCTGTGTGTGTGACTGGGGTTGCATAAATGACTAGATCTAGCTGTGTGTGTGATACTGAGTGATTGTGTATATTTATAATCTCATATGTGTGATTTGGGTTGTATATTTGACTTGATGTCTGAAACTCTGACTAACTATTAGGAGGGGTTATCTAATTGTGTGTGACAAGCTATGGATGTGTCTGTGTGTGCTGGTGCCAGGCAACTATGTGTGGGTGTGTATATGACTGTGGCTTCTATATTCCTGTGTTTGACCTGCATGTCTGTGACCCTGAGTGACTATATGTACTTGTGTCTGTGTCATAGTCTGTGAGAGTGTGTGTTATATGTTGCTGTGTGGCTGATTTTGAGTGTGTGCTGGACTTCTTGTGTTTGAATCTGTGCCCATGGCTCTGTCAGGGGCCATGTCTTCTGTGTACACCCAGCTATAAATGCTACATCTGGGTCACTGCATTTCTGTGCATACACCCAACTGTCTACTTGTCTGTTTGTTTTTTGGTGGTTGGCCGGTGTGGGGATCTGAACCCTTGACCTTGGTGTAATACTGGCTGTGTACTTGTGATGTGGGGAATTGAAACTACATGCTGCGTCTCTATGTGTGTAGGTGGGGTTGTGACATTGTTCACCTGTGATAATGTGTGGCCACATGCTTTTCTGTGTGATTTGTCTCTGAATGAAGAGAAACTTTCTCTGTGGTGGTATGACATGGTACACTAGGTGGGGTATATGGGACACTAGGTGATGGTATTATGACTGTGATAGATGGCTGGGTAATGTGGACACTGATGCTGTGTGACTGTGCATACATAACCACTTCCAGAATGTGTATGGCTATGTCTGAGGGTGGCCATCCTTGGGGATAGTTGTCTTTGGGTGGTTGCATGCCATGCCTAATGTGTGTCTGTTTCTCTATAATGCACAGGGCTATAGCCACAGGTATCTCAGTGTGTAGCTGTGTGTAGAGAAAGAACTGACCATGTAAGTGTGACTGTGACACTGTGACAGAAGACTGTGTGACTGATTCTGTGACCAAATGTGAGCAACTATGACTAGATATGATGGTGTGACAATGTGTGACCAAAAAAGGTATGTTGGTGTGACTGATACAGTTGGCGTTGGATGTCCATGTGCAAGCATGGCTGTGTGTGGTCTTTATGAGACCAAATGTGTGTCAGTCAATCTGTGTGCTTCCACGACCAGATGTCAGTGTGCAGCAGTGGAGATATGTGTGACAATTGTGTGTAGCTGTGATAATGTTACTTTGTGACTGGGTGACCAAATGGGTGAACTCTGACTGGGTGTGATTCTGTCTGGGTGGGCCTGTGATGTGGCTATCTTGGGTGGCACCTGATTGTACACGTGCCACTCTGGTGGGTGTGCCTGAGCCCAGCTCTTTTTGTGTGGCTGAGAAAATGGAAGTGACCAAATATCCGTAGCTGGTGTGACCAGGTGTCTGTGGTGGGGCCAATGTGGGCTGAGACACTACATGCATGTGGACAAATATCTGTAATAGAGACTCTGTGTGTCTGTAAACACGAACATGTGACCAGATATTTATAGTGGCAGTTGTCTGTGGTTGTAATTATGTGTTCTGTGTGATCTGAGGTGTGTAGCTGTGATCATGTCTGTGTTTAACTGTGCAGAGCTGTGACAACTGTGTTTTGCTCTGAACATGTGTTTAGAGGGCAAGGCCACTCTCTCCTCACACCATCCCCTTGGTTATTGAGGGCCTCCTGAATCCAGTACAGCCCCAATAACTGCCCCCCCCACCTACTCATTTTGGGGCCCTTAGAACCAGGTGGCTGATCTCCCTGGTAATAGTTGCTATGACAACTAGGGCTCTCATCAGGTAGCCTGAGATGGAGGGGTTGGCTGAAGTCCAAAGGTGGAGTCATGGGGGACTGAGCCCCACCCCCAACTTACTTCTCAAATTTTCTTCCCTCTCTTGGGCAGGACAGACCCAGGAGGCCTGAGCGGCATCTGCCCCCAGCCCCTTGTGGGGCCCTGGGGCCCCCTGAAACCTCCAGGACGGAGCCAGGTGAATGACCAGCTTGAGACAGAGCAGGGGCAGGGCGGGTAGGTGGGTTTACCTAACGTAACTAGAGGGATTGTCCCCACAGTCACACAAACTTAATTGCATTCATGAGTGGACTCCCTCAGACATCTTCCCTGCATACTCAGTGACCATCAAAGCCGTATTCATTCATAGCCACCCACCCCTAGACTATCACACACACAAACACACACACACTGACATCCTCACAATCACAGATGCAGGGTCACTGTCGCAACTGTCACACACTCAGACACACTTCCACAAACACACACAGATGACTATCTCTTTCGGATCCACACACACTTAACACAGTGACAGACACACTTGAAGATATACTTAAGTAGATATTCACTCACACCAACATACAGACACACATATATGTTCACATGGATGGATACACACACACAAACATACAGACACATTCCCAGACACACCCAGACAGTCACACATAGGCAACCACAGGTACCCGCCAGATACAGACTCTCAGATATACACTCTGAAGAGACACACAGTCTCCCAGACAACACACACTGACTCACACTTTTACAGACAACAGCCACACTTTCTCAGACAGACACAGCCTCACATACAGCACCCACGGACCCAGGCTCTCACAGAGCTACATTTTTGTGCAGACCCAGACATAGTCTCACAAAGAATACTCAGCGCTCTCATAGACAGCAGCCACACCCTCACAAATAACACTCATGAACACACTCTCAAAGACAACAACCTCATGTTCACACACACTCTCACAGATGCACCACTGCGTACAGACACACCCTCAGAACAATACTCATGCACCCACACTCTCTAAGATAACAGCCACATGCTCTGACAGACACACTCTCACAAACAACAGCCACAGCCTCACAGTCTCATCAGCAACAGCTGTACTCTTGACATAGACACGGTCTTGTGGAGAACTCTCACAGATGCACACTCTCAGAGGCAGCAGTCATCAAAGACAGTAGATAGACTCACACAGAGACACAGCTTCGCAGACAATGGCCATGGACCTACCCTTTGAAGATAACAGCAGCAAATTCAAACATGACACACACACAGACAACATGCACTGAAACACAAGTTCTCAACAACTGCACTCTCAGCATGCACTGACACACAACCACTCTCAGACATTGATGTCCTTCAGCAACAACCTTCAGGATGTACACTCACAGACAACCACGTTCTTGGACCCACGCCCCCTCACAGACAGCATTCACAGACACACTCTCATAAACAACCACTGTCAGACATGCATCCTTCCATACAGCCTTCAGAAATGCACACACTCACAGACAATAGTTGCATGCTCAGATATTGACACCCTCACGGGCACCATTCTGGAACACACCGTTGCACACTTGCTTACACACACACACACACACACACAGAGCCGCTGTCTGCTGTTGGTGCTCCCAGTCCCTGGTGTCCCCTCAACCTCCTCCTGGGACTGTCAGGATGGCTTAGTCAATGAAGACTGTCCTCATGGCTGGCCACCTCCACCCTCACCCCAGGCACACACAGTCCTACCTCTGCAGTCACAGGTGCACACCACCCCAGAGGCCTTGCCTCAGACCAGACCCAGTTGTCAGAGAGGGGCTATGTCTCAGAGGTACAGAGACGAGGCCCTATCCCCACACCTACAACCCACAGATTGGGCTCTGGACCCTCTGAGCCCCGACTCCCACAGCCACACGCCTGACTTCTGCACGCTGACCCACATAACTCCCAACTCCTGTGCCACTGATCCCTCTATCTCCTGATGCTCATACCCTTAAAACCTGATCTTGCAACCCTTGACCCCTATACCCTCTAACTCCCTGCTCTCCAATGCCTTGACTTCTCCTCCTTTGGATCCTCATTCCTCTTGTATATCACATCCCCAGACCTCCATGCCCCATTGCCCAACTCTCACACTTCCCTGCCTTCTGTTGTTTCCTTTCTGGGTACCCCCTCAGCTGCTGATCCCGTGTGCTCTGACCAGTGACCCTGTAACCCCACTCCCATGATATCTGACCCTGTGCTCCCTGAGCAGTGTGTCCCTTCCCCTTGAACCCTATATTTTCCTTCTGACCTCCCTCCGCCCTTGACCTACATCACTGTCCTGTGTCACCAGACGGGGCAGGCACCATGAACAAGTTACGGCAGAGTCTACGGAGGAGGAAGCCTGCTTACGTGCCAGAGGCATCACGCCCGCACCAGTGGCAGGCAGATGAGGACGCGGTGCGCAAGGGCACATGCAGCTTCCCGGTCAGGGTGAGTGGGCCGGGCACGGGGCGTGCGGCCATGGTGCTGTGCACACGTACGTCCTGGGGCTCTGGGCAAGATCACTAAAGTCCCTATGCTATGAGCAAGAGTCTTCACATTCTCAAGGAACTGGGGAGCCTGCTGGAGCAAGACCCCACGCCCTTCAAAGTTGGTATTAAAAACCAAGACACATTCTCTTATAATAGGAGAATATTACCAGGGGGACATCCTGTGGGGGGGGGGCACCCTACTCTATGGGGCTCACAGAAATTCTGTGGCATTTGTAAAGTGCTCTACTGTTAAGGACTTTCTGGCTTAGACAACCATGACTCTTTGCAACATATGCTACACTTTTATAAGGGAGACAGCAGCACTCAGGGCATGGACTGTGGAGGTTGGCCAACCTGAGTGTAAATCCCAGCTTAGTCCCTTCCTGGCTGGTTGACAGACGATGGTCATAGCTTCTCTGTCTTATTTTTCCCTTCTTCTAGAAGGGACCCTCTCCTGGCTGTGAGGGGTTCATTTGTGAAGTGCAGGAAATGCTGGTGGTTGTGAGGAAGGGAAGGCAGCCAAAAAAGGGTATGTTATTAAACTGCAGTTGTGGGCAACTGAGCTTAATCCCACTGGGGAACTCTGGGAAACAGTCATCCCACCTGCGGGTGAGGGAACTGGGATGCCTGTACCTCAACTCCCATCAGGCATTGCAGGGAATTGGCCCAGGCCTTTTCTACCTGCTTCAGGGTGGGCACAACAGCCTGGCATAGCCCAGGGTCAGTCCTTAGGCACAGAGATGTGAATGCTGGCACTCAGAAGGACAACAGTGAAGTGTTAAGGCCCAGGGATATAGGCGGGACAGGAATCACTACTATGCCCTGTGCTTCAGTTTTCTCATCTGCATATCTGGGCTAGGAATGGGCTGCATCTCTTGTAGAGTTGAGGTGCAGAGTAAATGAATTAATACATATGATATGCTTGGAACATTGCCTGATGCATGGCAGATGCTCAGTGAACACTGAGAATTATTGATTACTGTGCTTATTTCATGTCCTCCCATCTCCCCACTCAAGTACCTGGGCCACGTGGAGGTGGAAGAGTCCCGAGGGATGCATGTATGTGAAGATGCTGTAAAGAAGCTGAAAGCAGTGAGCGAGGGGCTGAAGCCAGGGAGTGGGCGGGGTCAGACAGGAAGAGGCAGCACTGACCAGGCCCCTCTCTCTCCCTCCCCCACCCCAGATGGGCCGGAAGTCCGTGAAGTCTGTCCTCTGGGTGTCAGCCGATGGGCTCCGAGTGGTAGATGACAAGACCAAGGTAAGAGGCCTGTGGGGGTGGGGGTGGGCACCAGTGGGCCCCTCTGCTCTCCCTGCTTAGATCAGGGCTGAGGACACGTTCTCATACCCTCTGGGATGTCCCTCCCTCGGGACCTTCTAGACTACGCCATGTGCTCCTGCCTGGTCTTGGCTTGCTTCACAGTCATAGTTTATGAATGAGAGCTGTAGTTATCTGTGAGCTGGTAGAGATCAGACTGGAGCAGCCACCTTAGCTCTGATCCCAGCTAAGGGACCCTGGGCATGAGATGTAAGCCCTCTGGGCCTCAGTGGCCTCAAGTAAAAAAATGGGGATAATAATAGACCCTACCATTAAATGAAAAAATATGTGCAAATTGTTTAAAACTATGTCTGGCACATTCTAAGTGCTTAGATCAGTGAATGTTAGCTGCTGTGTGTTTATCGTCAGTCTGCCCAGCCAGACAGGAGCACCATGGGGCCAGGATCTGCATATCTGTTTGCTTATCATTCAGTCCTGGGCCCCCATCCCAGAGACTGCCTGAGGAAGTGCCTAGGATATGGTGAGAATTGGGTTAATGACAGAACAGGATCGCCAGCTTTGCACAGGGAGTTCCCTCCGCCTGATATTGTTCCCTGCCTTTTTGCCTCGTTAATGCCTGCTCCTGCTCCGTGAAGCCTACAAGTCCCTAAGTTGGCTTTCCCCATCCCAGCCCTGACTCCTCTGCTTGTGCCTCCCCCGTCCTAGCTTTGACCCCTCTGCCTCCTTCATTACAGCCTGGCTGTGATTCTGGGCTGTCTCCATCTCGCTTCCCCACTGAACTGGAAGCCCCTGGCTATCTCAGTGACTGCTGGGTTCCCACCCTGTTCAGGATGAGATTTAGAGCAGATACTAAGGGAATGTTGAATGAATTCATGAAAGACAGTTCATCCTCCTCTCCTGGCCTCCCTGGCCCCTCCTAGGACCTGCTGGTAGACCAGACCATCGAAAAGGTCTCCTTTTGTGCTCCTGATCGCAACCTGGACAAAGCTTTCTCCTATATCTGCCGTGATGGGACCACCCGCCGCTGGATCTGCCACTGTTTCCTGGCACTCAAGGACTCCGTGAGTATCTCCAGAGTCAGCCAACTCCTCTCTCCCATGCCCTGGAATCCCACCCCTACCCCGGCAGACCGTGTGGACTTGAGTAGCCACTCACCTCTCCGTGGCTGGGTTCCTCACAGCCCCTAACTTAGAGGATTATTGTGAGACCTGAGTGGGTTAATACAAAGTGTTTATAGAACAACGCCTGGCACATACAAAATGCTTAGGAAAACATTAGTTACTGTCATCATCCTCATTATCAGCAGGGTTTGTTTCATTTTGTTTTGTTTGCAGCTGGCTGGTACAGGGATTGAACCCTGGACCTTGTTATTAGCACCGTGCTCTAACCAACTGAGCTCCCCAGCCAGCCCTCATAAGCAGTAGTTCTTCATGTGCATACAGTAAAGTGCACAGATTGTCAGGGCACAGCTCCCTGAATTTTTGCTTATGTATAAACTTCACCCTATCAAATTATAGAGAATCTCCTCCTCCCAGCAGGCTCCCTTGGGTCCTTATTAAACAATATCCTCCAGGGCACCCACCATTTGTTCAGCCTCAATTAATTTTTCCTGTGGTTCTTAATATTTTAGGGGAGTCAAGGTCCTCTCTGAGAATCTGATGAAAGTGGCAAATGGACCCTCTTCTCAGAAGTATTCACACAGTTAGGACACTGAGGCTTGTGACAGGAAACACCCAGATGCCAATGGTTTCAGTGAAATAGAAGTTCATTTCTGTTGCATGTGAAGGAAATCCAAAGGCAGGCAGTGCAGCATTGGTGTGCTGCCTCTGCGTCCACCAAGGGCCAGGGTTCCTTTCATCTTGTTGTTCCTCCAGAGTGTGGCTTCCACTCCATGATCCAAGATGGATGCATATGCTCCAGACTTCACATCTTCATTACAGCCAACACAAAGGAGAGAGGCGTGAAGAGGGGCACACCCTCTCCTTTTTGGGAGATACATTGCCCTTCTACTTATGTCCTGTTGGCCGGAACCTAGTCACATGGATATCCCTATAGCTGCAAAAGATGGTGGAAAATACAGTCTTTAATCTGCCTTGTCCCCTGAACCCTGACCTCAGACCCTATGCAA